TCTTTCCCTGTGGTCCTCATACTGAGAGGTGAGAACCACGTTAAGAGGTTGTTTAAGACGCTGTGGTTGCTGCGGAAGGAGGAATGGTTTCTCCAGTAGAGCTCCCTGCAAAGCTTAGTAACGTAGAGCCAGCAGCCAAGGTAGAGAAAACATCTAGACTGTGGCACCCTCGATTTCTCATCCTTTTCAGAGCAGTTACTGTGTAGGTTTGAATCTTTTTGTTTTCTGAGTCAGCCTTGGACGCCTTTCTCTAAGACTGACAATTGCTATCTCTAGTGAGTTATTTTAGGGCGGGCATATTTTAACATAAAATTTTTTTCTGATACAAAAGTAATGTGTATGCTTGTTAGAGACAAATCTAAAGAAAGAATGAAAATCCATCTTCCCTCCATGTAGCACAGAGCTAATCTCTGCTGGTATGTTTATGAATTTCCTTTCAGTATTGAAAAATGCATATAACATGTAAGGTGTTTAAACAGACTTGAGAGTCATATATACAGCTTGGTATACAATTTTCTTTCCTCATTTAACATGGTATCACAAGTAATTTCTTGTGTCTTTAAATCTTGGAAAGTAGATTTGCAGTAACTCTACCTTGCTTTATTATCCATTCCCACACTGTTGAATTTTGGTTGTTTCAGATCCTTTGTTAATTCAATGATGTTGTGATGAACTTTTTTGTGTATAAATCTTTGACTATATCTTTGCTAACTTTTTTAGGTTAGAACCCTAGAAATTGGGTTGCGAGGAGGGGGACTCACATTGCTGGAGTGAGTACAAATTGATACCACCTTTTAGGAATTTCTGTGAAGGGAATGCTTCCCTTTGACCCTTTAACTCACGTCCCAGTGCATTTGCTGAGCTTCCTCCCCTGTGAGTAGAGGTGAGCGGACAGTGTCACAGCAAAGGCCTCTCTGAATGTGCCTGATTGTTAACGATTGCAGGCTCAGAGTCTTTTCTCTGCTTCCCTTCTGTCTCCCATCCTTTATTGCCTCATTCCCCCTTGCAGCAGTGTTTTTGGGAAATAATGTTTGTTTTAAAATAAAAATGTAAAAAAAATTAATTAAAAATAAAAAAATTTGTTTTAAAATAAAAACTATAGACTTTTTTTTTTCCTGATTGACGAGCAATTAGTGATTTGCCATCCTTAAGTGAACAAGGCACAATATTCAGGGATTTGTTGCCTCTTAAGAGTGCAGCCATAAGTTCCTTATTCTTATCCATGTCACAGACAGAGATCAGATGACAAAATGTGTTCTGTTGAAATAAAGCCATTTGAATCCCTCATTTTAGACTCTTAGGGACCCAGCAAGCAGGAAGAGCTTTTGTTCAGCTTTGTATTCTAATGTTTGGGACCCTAACATTTGACTATAATTTAAATTCTTTGTTACCTTGCCTCTCTGAGTTAATTTCTTCACTATAAAGTTGCTATTTTTTTCCTTTTTTTCCTTTTTTTTTTTTTTTTTTTGTTGTTTTCTTCATTGCGTCTCTTCCTCTGAGAGGTATCAGAGTTTCTCAGTTTCCTAGTTTGCTAATTGTTACGTATTTTAAAAGGACCCTTCTTTCTGGTCTCTTGTCTTTTCTGTGGTTTACCTGGTCATTTCTTTAGAGTATTTCATCCCTCAGGAATATAGTGAGAATCAGTTTTTCTTGGATGAAATAAGCTGTAAGAGGGTATAAGAATGATTCTCGTATAGTTAACTCTTGATCTGAGTAATATAAAAATAACACATAATCCTCAGAATACTCTTATTTTGGAATTCAGTTATTCTTTTTAGGTATTCACCAAGTTGCCCGCTCATGCTGGAACCAAATACCTTCTGTCTTTCCCCAGTCCTGGGACAGTTTCACATCAGGTGATGGAGCAGGGCTGACATGCAGCCAAATGTTCGTTCCACTTGTTCAAAAGTACCTGTTCCACCTACCCTACCAGGGAGATGTCTTTGCCTGCGGCACCAAGGTCCTTACTTAACTGGCAACATGTTATTTGGGAAGGTGGGAAGTACATTAGACCATTGTCTCCTTCTAACCAGCTTTGTCTGTGGCCAACTCTGGTTATTGGCAGCCCCTAGACACTGTGGGTACTGGACCAAATGGGCAATCACGTGGGAGATAACCAAGAGCTGACTTGCTGTGCATAGGAATAGGGAATGTCAAAGGACCTAGTTCATACATCCTGGGCTGTTCCCTCCCCCAAGGCAGTGGTACTTGCTGCCTTAAAAGGTCATTCTGTGCTCTGACTGAATGGAGATAGGTAGTTAATCTCATACCCTCCAGATTGAACTCAAAGCATTTGCCCTCCTTGCAACTTCCTTGTTTTTTTTTTTGCGGTACGCGGGCCTCTCACTGTTGTGGCCTCTCCCGTTGTGGAGCACAGGCTCCGGACGCGCAGACTCAGCGGCCATGGCTCACGGGCCCAGCCGCTCCGCGGCATGTGGGATCTTCCCGGCCCGGGGCACGAACCCGTGTCCCCTGCATCGGCAGGCGGACTCTCAACCACTGCGCCACCAGGGAAACCCAACTTCCTTGTTTTTAATTCTTGAATTTTTCTCTCGCCCGATAGGTAGCCTGTTGCCTTTCTGCCAGCATAAGCTTCCAGAGCTGCTGAGTTTACAGTCAGCATTATTATAAGCGTGATGTGTGGTTCATATATTCCTGAGTCGGAGGGGCTACTTATATTCTACTCCTGTTTCCCAGAGATCTCCCTTCTCAGGCTGCAACGTGCTGGGGCAGAGTTGGGATTCTGACTACTCAGACCACCAGGGTATCTATTAAGTCCTGGATAAGAATCCAAAATTGGAGCTTAGTAAGCTAACAGGGCTGAAAAGAAATAGGAGATTGAGACACAGGTAGTTTTAAAGAAGATACATTTATCTGGTTGGTGGGGGTGATGGGAGTATAGTCTATGGACTTCTTATTTTGCTTTTTCCTAAACTCAGTTGTATAGTGTGTTGGAGGATCAGAGGAGTGGGTTGGTGACTTGTGTTCTGGTTGTGGTCAACAGCTGTGTGTCTTTGGGCCAATCACTTAACTTTTCTGGACTCCTTTCTGTACCTGTAAAATTAGGAGTTTGAATTAGATGTGCTGTAGGGGCCCTACTAGTGTAGCATTCTGTAATACATCCCACCGTCTCTTTATGTGGCATTTTCCCTTGGGTGCTGTGTACCTTCTGCTTCATTGCACACTCTCATCCCACCCCCAGCCCTGGGAATGGAGGCTGTGCGTGAAAGGAAGGGGGCGAGGGAAGCAGGATGACACACGGTGTCCTCCTGGCCTCGTTGACTAGGGAGAAGCCTGCTCTCTCCATCTGGAGCTCCACTGGAGGTCAAAATACTCCTCTCACCAGAGTTGTACTATGTGTGGCCTTAGGGAACTCACATTTCTATTCAGTTCACTATTTAACAGTAAAGAAAGAAGAGAAGTCTTTATCTTCACCCACATCGCCAGTGCTGTAAGCCTTAATAAGGGAAAAGCGCAGAGTAGAAATGAGGCAACTTTTGCCAAGTGTTGTAAATGGGAGGATGTTGGCGGGGGGTGAGGAGGGGAAGAATGTTTCTCGGTTTAAAGATAGGAGAAATTAAGGCTGTGCCATAGAGAGAGAATTGAATAGAATTGGATACTTGAAAAGGAAAACATTAAACCAATAAGTTAAAAATATTCTCTTTTTTTATGTTGTCAGGACTGCCTAAGAAAATTTGAGGGGTCCACTGTGTTAACCCATTGTTCTCCATCTGTGAGTCCTAAGACAAGGTTAACTCCCAGGGAGACTTGAGAAGTCTCAGAGGCCTGCCTTTGTATAACCCTGACCTGCCTGGGACTTTGTCCTGCTTACCTTTGCCTGGCCACCAGTGAGACGGGACATGTGCAAAATGTAAAGTTTGTATTTTATAAACTGCTGAGAGACATTTTTCCCATTTCCGATATATCCATTCCCTGTGACCTGGCAGGAAATACATTTTCCATTCCATCCTTGTGCTTAGTTTCAGTCCCAAAGGGGTATATAGGCTTTTCTTTGTGTAGCACAGATTTATCTGTACCTATTATGCTAAACTTGAGGCTCTTTTCACAATAATCACTTCGATGTAGACGTGAGCCCCCATTTACTACCAAATTGGGGGCATTTTGTTGATGTTCCAGAAAAGATGACCAGATAGCCAAAAGAGAGGCTAAAGTATATCCCTCTGCCCTCTCCTAGATGGACCCTAACTTTACCTAAAATGTTGACATCTTTTGTTAAATCTCATAGAGCCAACTGGAGCCCCAGTCAGCTGGCTTAGTTCCTTTCTAATCAAGATCTGTATGTTTGGCCCTGGAGGTTGGGTCAGCCTGAGCCGTAGCACGTATGGCTCCCTCTGAGTTCTCGGATA